AGGCCCAACGTGCTGATTCCCCGCCCAAACTGAAAAGCAGCAGTAACTCAGGCTTCTGTCTGCATTGAACAGCTGGTAAGAAACAAGGTAACCCAGGGTGCAGCTTCCCAAGAGACTGGCAAACAAAAAAGAACCAGGAGACGCATCTAGTGTGTGCTACGGGCTGGTGTGGCGGGAGGGGAAATCAGCTGGCAGCTTTATCACTTTCCCCGTTCTCAATCAGTTTCCTTTTCTTCTCATCCGTTTTCCTCTTGAAGATGTGGTCTCTGTAGAACTGGAGTTCTTTGATGCTTTCCCTGATGTCATCAAGTGCTCTGAAAGAGAATTAAGGAGGGTTTCAAAGCGCCTGGGTACATCTTCAGCTATGCCCAGATCCTAATGCCTCTGAAAACTTCCAGGCTGCAGGAAACCAAACCAATGCACGTGGAAGGTGCATCTGTCAGAAATGAAAATAACCCTCATTGTCTCAATAGCAATAAAAGTCCAGTGGTGCCAATGTGCCAGAGAGGAACACACGGCTGATTTAGTTTCTGTCACCCTGGACACAGCTGCTGGAAACCAAAGGGTCTGCAGCATCAGCTGTGAAAAACAACTCAATCCCAGAGAAGAGACAAGAGCTCCAGAGAGCTGCCCAGCTCCATACCCAGGGCTCAGCTCAATGCAGCAGCACATCAGCCACGACTTCAGCCAGGACCTCTGCGACAGCCAGCCCTCCTCCTCCTCTGTGTGTACCAGAGCCTCCCTCCTGCCCAGCACAGACATCAGAGCAGAGCCACGGAGGTTCCCTGGCTCCTTCCCACTACTTCTCTGCCACATTCCAAGCTCAGGAAATAGGCAGGAACAGGACTCTCGCCCCCCCATTCACAGTTCTCCTATTTTTGTGTTTCTGTGACCACCTCTGCCCAAAAAAGGGGCAGATAACCCCCATTAAGTGGCTGTTTGCATGGTCAACAAACATGCACTTTGAAGAGCAGAGTAAATCAGAAGGGCTGAGGAAACTTCTGGTCCTCAGGATTTTAATAATCCCTTTCCCTACACTATCTTGGCTTTGGACAGGGAGTACAAACATCTGACAGGGTGCAGAAGCACAGTCTCCACCTGCACCAGACACTGGATGCTGGAATTCAAAGGAGCCCCATATCCTGCTCAGGAAGAGCAGAGTTCTCTGCAGGACAAGCCCTGCTCTGCCAGAGACAGAGGCACAAAGCTCACCTGTGAGAAGCCGCTTTCTTTGGTGCAAACTCGTATTCCTCTGGATACCAGCGCCTGTAAGCAGAAAAATTGCCACTTGGAAAAAAAAAAGGATTCAAAACCGTATCTGGTGGCTGCTGTGGGTTTGTTACATTTGGTGAAGGAACCTTGGTTTCACTGACACCCAGAGAAGCCACAGCCCTGCAGAGTCCCCCTGCTGTGATCTGCAGAACCCCAGCAGCATGAATGATCATCCCAGGGGACCTTTCAAACCACCTAACGGGGGGAACGTTTACCTGCAAAGTTCCTTGACAGTGCTCACATCAATGATCCTGTAATGAAGGTGCCTCATGAACTGCGGCATGTATTTGTCAAGGAACTTCTTATCTGCATGAACAGAGTTACCTACAAAGACACAAACAAGATGTTTCTTCAAAGACGTTGCAGAGCAACATGGAAACGAGCAGCAGGTGGAGCGAGCTGGGAGAGATCACAGGGGAAGAAAAGCCATTCACAAGCAGCTCATTTATCCCATTTTCTAGCAAATATGATTGTAAAGGTTTTTCAGATTTTCATTGCAGCATCACACAGGCTTTAATATTAATACCTCTAGTAATTCCTCAGTTACTACTCCCTCAATTTGTATCACACAGATAAATATCAAAGAATTAGTCCAACATTGGGTTTTTCGCCAAGTGAAAGTGGCCATTAGTATTAACCTCATTCAGCACCTGTCCCAGGATCATATGTGAAATTCTGAAAGCAGTTCTGGGTAACAGGACACCTGGAAGATCCTTACTCGGCCTTTGGTTGGATACCCAAAAGGAGTATCCAAAAAGGGAGGAGAAGACACAGCACAGAGCAGGAAGACATTCCTGCCACACGTGCCAGTGGGAGCCCAGATCCCGCTGGGAGTGCAGGACAGACGATGTTGTAGTTAAGAAAGATGCTTCACCTGCGAGAGGACAGAGCCCCGGGGGTGTCTGCTGCCGCACGAAGGACAGGAACTCGTACTCTGCCTGCTGCAGTGAGATTTTACTCTCCTTCACAGCCTTAGTAAGGCCAGACTGCAAAAAAAGAGCCAAGTCATAAATCAAGAACACCCTGTCACAGACACTACCAGGAATGCTCCAGTTCTCAAGTAAATGTTTAACTCTGCAGTGAAAGGTCAACCCTTCAAGTGCTGTTTGCTCCCCAGGTACCTCCTGAACTCTGTATCTCAGTTCTCTGGGACACCCCCAGCCTTTACTCTCCCCAGGGACCTCCTGCTTGGGAAGGAAAACCAAGGCAGGTAAATAGTCCTGACAGCACTGACCTTCCTGTGGGCTTCAGGGCTTCTTCTTTCCCTTTTTTTGATTTCTTTGCTCAGAGTTCTTTTCAGTTACCAAGACATGAGGCGTTGTTTACCCACCTGCAAATGCTTCAGCCAGGAGAACGCTACATCCCTTTATATCCCTGTTTCAGGAGAGGCACTCACCTCCCCAGCAGGGAGCAGCAGGTACCAGTGAACACAAATAAACAGGATCCTGCCTTCAGGGTTTATCAAGATTCCTATAAATCAAGAAAGTTCCTCCCTTATTTTTTTTTTTTTCAATAGCTAAATGTCAAATCCTCTCCAAGTGTTCTCAGTGATTTATTTCCATCTGGCTACGCTATATATTTCCACGACTGTGCAGCAAAAATCTACTTGACAGATCCAAGTGGTGGTTAAAAAATTCATTATGTGGCAGCATTTTCATCTATATTCTAATTGCTTCTCTTCTCTTAGTCAATTAAAAATAAGTAGCTCCTCAGGAGCAGCAAGGACGCATGCTACCATCTCCAATTCACTCCCGAGCTGAAGCCGAGCTGGAATCCTCGACTGGAGCAGGGAAAAGCACCCATCACAGTAAATTAATATTCATTTTCCAAACTCTTGCTAATTCTTCCCAGGGAGAGCAAGATGCCGAAGGGGAAGGAGGGGGGGGGGGTTATGGATGTCTTAAAACTTCAGCCCTTAATTGAAAACTAACTTGAATTTCAATTCATCATCAGGGACTGGAAAATTCATTTGCTCTCTTGCTGCTGGCAAGGGGGAACCTTTGTTTGGTGGCCCAAAGAACTAAGAATAATCTCTTGCTGCAAAAGTGAAGCTTTCAGTGAAAAAATCCACAAGGCTCACAGCACTGAGGGGACAGGCAAAAACCCAGAGTTTACAGGATGTTTAATCCCACATGCAGAAGAAATGCAGAAGAAATCTGCATTTGACTGGCTCTGAACTACTGTACACTGATCCTGCACCTCTTCTTACTCTGGCATTCAAGCTTCACCTTCCCCTTCCCCACTGGAATAATTTTGAATTATTTAATGCAAGACTTCAGCAGAGGAGCCCACCCAACCCAGCCTGCACCAGGGCTCCCACAGAGGCAGGAGGTGGCCAGCAGCTCTGTGAGAGGACAAGGAGCCAAACCCCAGTTCTCAACCTCACACTGGGAGAAAGGAGGCTGAGCCCCTGCCTTGGCAGATGCGAGCCAGTGGTGCATCCCTGAGCGACAGATCCCGTTCTGGCCCCCCTGCCTGCTCCAGCCCTCCCAGAGGAGCCTCACTGCTCTTGTGCTGTGCTGATGCTTCCCACTCCCAAACCGGGAAGCAGCTTCCAGCACTATTCCAACTTATCAGAAAGCAGGCTGCGAGGCACAGGCGGCCGAAGGCTAAAGATCCCCGAGTGCAGTCTGAACTGTGCTGCAGATGACTCGGAGACCTTGGGCAAAACATTCCACATAGGCTCCTCAATACAAAATAAGCCTGATACTGTCTCCTGTCTTTCAAGCCCTCTGTGTGGCTGCAAAGCGCTCAGCACAGGAGTTGTCTCTGCTCGGGCGGCCGTGCTGCAGCGGATCACTCGGAATTACGCGTCATTCCCATGGCACAGGGCACAGAACGGCTCTACCTTCCCGTGATGCTCCTTGCACCACTCGGACATGCTCTCCAGCAGCTCGTCGGGCTGGTTTATAATCAGGTTCGGGCCCTGTCAGGGACAGGAAAACATACAAGGTAATGGAAAAAAAAGTTTAGAAGCATGTAAAAGTTTAGTGGCAAGCACAAGCAGAGCAGGGAGCGGGAGCGGTTTCAGCCCGGGGACACCGAGCGCAGCGTGACGCAGGTGCCGCGCTCCCGGCGGGTCCCGGCGGGCCGGGGCCGGGGCCGGGGCCCGCCCGCCGTCACTTTGTTCCAGCATCCCCTGGAAGCGGCGTGGTGTGGGGGCTGCCGCGGGGTCCCGCCCGGCGCGCTCACCTCGGCCAGCACGTTGAGGTCGCAGTCGGTGATGAGACACGCCATCTCCAGGATCTGGTCCTTCTCCACGTCCAGGCCCGTCATCTGCCAGGGGCGAGCGGCAGCGTCAGCGCGCCCGGGGACCCGCGCCCCCCGTCCCGTCCGCTCTTTCCCCGCGCCCCCCGCCGCCCCGCGCCGCCGCCCCGCACCTCCAGGTCCACCCAGACCATGCGCTGTCCCATGTCGCCGCCGGCCATGGCCGCCGCCCTCCGCCGGCCCCGCCACAACCGCCCGGCGCAGATCCGCAGGCGGCCCAGGCCGGCGCGGCCGCCGCCCAGCATCGCCGCCGCACTACAGCTCCCGGCGGCCCCCGCGGCCCCGCCCGCGCTCTGTGGGTGTGGATGTGCCGCGAGGGCTGCTGGGAGATCTAGTCCGAGGCGGTCCGGAGCGCTCCTCCCGACACCGGTCCCATGGAGCAGCTCCGCTGCCCCCGACTCAAAGGTGGAGGTTCACCCAGGGGCTTTCCCCAGGGAGATTTTTAATGTTCTCCAAGACAACATTGTAATATTTTAAATGGACAATGGGTTCAAATTGAAAGCGAGTAGGTTTGGATTACATACTAGGAAAGGATTCTTTACTGTGAGGGTGCTTAGGCACTGTAACAGGTTACCCATGGAAATTGTGGATACTCCATCACTGGCAGTGTTCAAGACCAGGTTGGATGGGGTTCTGAGCAGCCTGGTCTAGTGGAAGGTATCCCTTCCTCTGGCAGGGGTTTGGAGTGAGGTGGTCCTTCACGTACCTATCAACCCAGACCACTGTGTGATTCTACAACTGTATAAAACACTACATGAGGGATGTTGCAGTTGCCAGGCAGCATCTGTCCCACCTCAACTGTGCTTAAAACACCAGATCCTTCCACCTGACACAGATGTTCCTTTCTCCTAAAAAAATACTAACAGCATTTCTCTGTGACACAAGGACAGAGGGGTGGCTTCTCCAAAACTTCACCACGGATTTTCACCCCGTGAAAAGCCCTGAAGTGTGAGTTAACACATTTAATACTGAGACCAGAGTTTGGCAGGACTGCCCTGCTGGTATTTTTACAAACACTAAAAGGTGACTTCACTGGGGGATTTTTTGGGGAGGGGGGGTTTATACATGTACTCAGTGAGAAACAGGTCACATTTGCTTTGCCCTCGAGTCCATCAATGCCGCGCCGAGTGCCACTTGGCCTCTCTGTAGCTCTCCCTGCGGTACTCGTAGCTCCAGCTGTCCCGGTGCCTGTCGTAGTGCTCCTCGCGGCCGCCCCGGTAGTGGTGCTCGGCCTCGTGGCCCCTCTCGTCGAAGCCGTACTCATCGCGCTTGCCCCGGCCGTAGTCGGAGCCGCACTCCCCGAAGCGCTCGCGGCCGAAGTGGCGGCTGTCCGAGAAGTAGGGGTGGGTGCCCAGCCGGCCCTTGCGCGGTGCCGGCCCCTCGGGGCGCCGCAGCCCCGGGGAGCCCGGCAGGGCGTGGGCGGAGTGGGAGTAGCCAGGAGGGGCAAAACCGGGCTGCTCGTATTTCCCCCCGAACTGGGGCTGCTGCCGAGCCGCACTGTTCATCTGGAAGGGAAAGAGGGAAAGGGATGCTCGGTTTGGTACACTGCCTGCCCGGTGCAGTGCTTGAACCAAACCCTGGGCTGCACTCTAACTCACGCTGCAAATACCAGAACAGAACAGAACCGTTACCCACAGCTGGACTCCCACAGCCCTCCCAGCTGGCCCCCTCTCTACCAGCAGCTTCAAATCTTCTGGAATTGTCATTTCAGCACTCCAAAAGCATATTCCCACAACCTGTGCCTGTGAGTGTGAGCACGTACCACCGCTTGTCTCTGCAGGCTCGACGAGAACCCTGGTGAGGCCATGCTATCTGGAACCCTGTCATACCTGCAGGGAAAACAGATCAGGAGTTTCAGCCTTAAACACACAACTGCTGCAGACCAAGGGGCATCTGCATCCCACTGGTGTTCCCTCCACAGGAAAGAAACGCTAAATTGCACTTGGAAGTAGCCAGGAACATGGTGATCATGCAATGTCTGTCTCCATTCCACACTCCTGTGCTGGTGACACTCATACCTGCTGCTGTTGGATGCTGGATGAGGCATTCCAGGAGGGTTGGTGCCAGCAGCTCCGAGCTGGGAACAGGATGGATTGATATCCTGGGCAGCATGACTGCTCCCTGGGGAAAGACAAATATTTCAGAATATCCACAAGTACCAGTTAAGAAACTTGGTTGTGAAGTGAACTTGCAGAACATCAACATGTTTTGAATTTGCTTTCAAGTTTCCACATATTTAATTTGCTCTGAAATTTTGTCAGTGATCTGTAAAAGCACATGGTCCAGTTACCAAAATAAGGCACTGCAACTGTCTTAATTCCCACCAGGAAGAGCAGAGATATTGTAGCCAATGTGTTTCATTTAACAACTATCAGATGAGGTTTTTAATGCTCGTGTGATAATTTAGAACAGATCTTAGAGGTGCTGCAGGAATAGCCAATAAAAACCCAAAGAGAAAGCTCAGCCGAGGGCTTGCACCGGCCATGAGGGACGGGAGGTCCCCGGTGGAAGCTCCGGGACAGGAGGGTGTGAGGGGAGCAGAGCTGGCAGATGAGGGACCCCGTGGTGAGAGGCTCCTGCAATTTACCCGGTTAGGTGTGATCCTGCTACAGGCTCGGGCAGCTGGCAGCGGTTCCCTTTCCCTCTAGAAAAGTGGTTAAAGTCCCTCCGGTACCTGATCGGAACTGGATGCGCATGGGCCGCCCGTACAGCTTGATCCCGTTGAGCAGCCGCAGCCCGTACGGCACCGACTCCTCGTGCTTGAAATTCACGAAGGCGAACTGCTTGGGCCGTCCATCCCGGTCCTTCGGGATCTTCACGGTGATCACGGGGCCCGCCTGCCATCGGGAGCGAAAGCGTTAAGCAAACACCGGGAGGGAGCGGCCGCCGCCGAGCACGTGCGCCCCGCCGAACCCTGTCCCGCGGCGGCCGCCGTAGCCCTGCCGGCCATGGCGGCCGCGGCCCCCCCGCCGCGCCCCACCCCGGTACAGACAGCGCGGGCGCCGGGCGGTACCTGGTGGAAGAGCTCGAAGATGAGCTCCTCGGTGACCTTGGGGTCCAGGTTCCCCACGAACAGCGTCCGGTTCGCCTCGGCAGCCGCTGCCCCCATCGCCGCGCCGAGACCTGAGCGCGCGCGCTCCCAGCGGCTGCGGCCCCGCCCCGCGCGCGCCACTTGGCGTGACGTCACCGGGGCGGAGCGTGCTGGGCCCGCCCCTTCCGGCGGGGAGGGGGTAATGGGAACGGGACAATGGGAACGGGACAATGGGAACGGGACAGTGGGAACGGGACAATGGGAACGGGACAGTGGGAACGGGACAATGGGAACGGGA